CTGGAATGAAGTAAAACAAAATACTTTCTGACATAATAAAAAAATACACATTTACACTAATATAATTTATATATATCATCTGCGATATTACGTCATAAAAAATAAAAGCTTCCACTTCGAAGCCTCATTTTAGCTATCTTTGATACTGTAACCAAATAAAAAACCTTTTATTTGATTTGCTGTAATCCCATGATTTGAGAATTTTATTACGGTTTCTTTTCAAACCAAAATGAGAAAAAAAAACCCAGACCCAGAATAAAAAAAAAGAAAAGAAATATTTTAGGAAGATAAAAAATTCATCAATGTTATATTATTGTCATCAACTGTAGGCAGCAGAATGTATTTGCTGCGGTTTGACCTTCGAACTTACTTGTATGGTTAGTTTTACGTCCCTGTTCTTATGTTTTTGTTTTTTCATTTAGGGAAGTTGTAAATAAACTATTTCTGCTGCGATTTTTTCTTGTAAAATATTTTTATGATTTTTGGAAAAGTACAGAGAGCACTTTGCAGGATTGCTTGGCCAAGATTTATTTCTATGAAATATTCCCAAACATATAAAGCATAATGAAAAATGTTTTACATAATTTTTTAGAACATTCATATTGTAATAAATACACTTTTATAATCCGGAGCGGTCACGCCGAGCGCAGAGTGCACGAAATCGGTAATTCTGGTAAAACTGTCTAATTGTTACCAATAGCTCTGACACACACTATCCCCCTGTTTGACAGTCTTAAGGGCAGTCGGAAAGATAAAATTTGATTTTTTTGACAATTTGAGATTTTTACATTTCCACATAGTACAGATTTTAACCTTTCTAAAAATACCTTACTTTAACCTCTAGGGTAAGTAGAAGCCCTAAAAACCTATTTTTAAATAATCGTTGAAACTGGGCCACGCCCATTTGACAAGCGTAAAAGTAAACAAAGTTTTTTGTTTTGGCTTAAAAGTTGAGCGTCTGGTATAAATCAAAACATTTATCTTTTATTGTATAAATTGAGCTTTTTATTATTTTATTTCCTAACCCATTTGAAACTTCACTGTATTTTTAACGGTCAAATCAGTGTTTGTTTACACTTTCAAAACTGCGTTGTAATTTTTGAACTCGCAAGTATTCTTTAACATTATTCAGCTTAAACTTTCAAAAAAATTGCTATAATATATCGACTTTACCATGCCTAGAGCATCAACTAAAGTATTTAAGAAACGAAGAGGAGTTTTTAATAAAGGAAGATGTAATAAAAGTAATGATGGTTGTGGTGAAAGCAATTCTACTGTTCCAAAGAACTCTGCTGATGAAAAGAATTGTGCTGATGGTGCAAAGCTTTGTACTAATGAAACTGAACCATCTGCCAGTGAGAGAAAAATTGTAAACATGGATATTTCATATTCGGATGAGGCTTTTTCTGGTTTCAGAAATGTTATTGTGGACATTAACCTTTTAGCTTGTGTGTTTTTTTGAAGCTGAAAATGTATAAAGTGTGAAAAAACAGGACTCAGGTTGCACCTCAGTGAAAGTAACTATGGTGAAGCTGTGAAGTTTCACTTAAAATGTCCTTCTTGTAAATATAACTATACTTTTTTTTTTTTAACTCCAAGAAATGCGATAGTTCTGAGAATTACGAACTGAATACCCGGCTAGTGTATGCTATGCGATGCATAGGTAAAGGTGCTGAGTCTGCTAGGATGTTTTGCGGTATCATGAATCTTCCCCCGCCACCCACAAAATTCTCAAAGTACAACCACATTTTACTGCAGGCAACAAGAGAAACCTGTGAACACAGTATGGCAGAAGCTGTTCGTGAAGCCGTTGATGAAAATGATGGAAAAAGGGACCTTGCTGTTGCTGTTGATGGTAGCTGGCAGAAGCGTGGTTTTTCTTCGAAGAATGGCTTGGTGACAGTCACAAGTGTTGATACCGGCAAAGTTATAGATGTCGAAGTTTTTTCAAAACATTGTATTTGTCCGAACAAAACCCAGCATCTTCAAAATTGTAAGAGAAATTTTGAAGGCTACAGCGGTAAGATGGAAGTAGCTGGAGCTCTATCCATTTTTCAGCGTTCCCAGTCTCTCTACAATGTTCGGTACACAAAATATTTAGGAGATGGGGACTCCAAGGCGTTTACTTCTATTATCGAGAACAAAGTATATGTGGTGACCATTGCTCTGTTGAGAAATTAGAATGCATAGGTCATGTTATGAAAAGAATGGGGACACGTCTTCGACGCTTGAAAACTAAGATGAGAGGTCAAAAACTTTCTGACGGAAAGCCTTTATGCGGAAGAAATAGATTGACAGAGGCAGAAATCGACCGTCTGCAAGCATATTATGGTCTAGCTATCCGCAGAAATTTGTCTAGCTCGAAGGACATGCAACAAGCCATATGGGCAATATTTTTACACAAGCTATCAACCGATGAAAAACCTCAGCATGGATTTTGTCCCTCTGATACAGATACGTGGTGCAAATTTAAAAAGCAGAATTGCTTGGGGAGACTTATCATCACAAAAAATAGTTTACCTGTGGATGTTGTGGAGGCCATGCGACCTGTTTTTAGGGATTTAGCTAATCCAGAATTGCTAAAAAAGTGTTTACATGGAGGTACGCAAAATCCTAACGAAAGTGTAAATAATGTAATATGGTCTCGTGTACCGAAGAAAACATTTGTACAATTAGAAGTTTTGTCACTGGGTACATATGATGCAGTTTTCTCATTTAATATGGGGAATGTATCAAAACTAGAAATTTTGAGAAAAATGTGTATTGAGCCTGGTGATTACACGGTACAGGCGATGGAGTGCCTCGACAAACAGAGGCTGTTACGAGCAAAATACTATTGTTTACAAAAAACCAAGGAAGTTTGGAAGCAAAAAAGACTTAAAAGGAAGAAAGAAGATGATGAGCTACTAAAAAATGCTGATGATTTACAATATGGAGGTGGAATGTTTTAATTAAAAAGTAATTATACGTTAAAATCAATTTTTCTCAAAATGTCAATTTTTGATGTTCGATGTTCCTTTTCTTAGAAACTACTGTTCACAGGTATGTAAATTTCTTGTGATATATTTATAATGATGGCTAATATATACTGAAATGAGCGTTTTGTAAAAAACCCCAAAATTTTATTTTTTACAAATTTTTTTATGTGAAAAACGGGTTAACGTAAACTATGTTTGATAAAATATTTTATAAATTATGAAAAAATTCAAAATTAGCTAAAAGCTCATTTGAGTATAATGAGAAATGTATATTTTAATTATATGAAAAATTTCAAGCATGTACATATAACAGATTTTGAGAAAATGTACCTCGAAAACAGCCAATTTAACATTGTCGGTATAGAGGTTTCCGACTGCCCTTAACGTGTGAACTAAAATATATTTGTCACATATTCCCCTGTTTTTGGGAGTGACAAACGTTTTTTTACAATCCTAAGGTACTTGTTTTGACTGAGTTCCCAGTGTGATAACTTTTTTTCCGAAATATTTTCTGTGTCCTTGAAGTAGGTGAGTATATTTTCTCTTAATTAAATTATTCACTGGAATTACGATTTTTATTGTGTACTATAAAAATAATTATACAAAAAGGATTGGGGTGACTCAATAACCCCACTCAACCATTAGTATCGAGTGCGTGCCTGCTCCAGGGTTAAAACATGTTGAAGTCTTTTCCCTTTAAATATTAAAAATAATACACTTATTTTTCATCCAAATTTTATATTATTGTTCATTATTCCACATCAATTCTAAATGCTAATTCTGTGAGGCTTAAAATTACAGTTCGCTAGAAACTAATTATAATTTGAGCAATGATTTTAAAAAATCACTTTACATTTTTGTAAACATCGTCGCGCACTTGGCTTTACACTCTCCTTAAAATTCAGTGATTATATCTATAATGTTTTATTTTCTTATAAATGAACTCAAGCAAAGAGCGGGCACTTCAGCCGGTATACTTTTAATATATCAGTGCTGTACAGAGTATTTTATAACTAATTAATTAATGCGAAATTAAGAACAAGCTTAATAAGTATTAGCGACTTCCATGGGCTTGTCTTAAAGAATAAATTTTTCAAAGGAATGCTTATAATTAGAAATTGACCCTCTGAGTTATTTCTAAAACAAAAGCTGACATTTATATTTTGTCTTCCAAGCAGCCACCGCATTTTGCAATATGTTCCAATTTAAAAATTAAAGAAAGAAAAAATCAAATAATAATTATCCTATTATTTAATTTTTTTTTTTTTGCTTAAAAGCAACATATACAAAATTTAATACTTATGTCATGAATTTGCACGGTTTATAATAAAGATTATTGTTTTAACGTAAAAAAAAGTGCATTATTATTGCATCCAGTACATTATTATTGAATAAGGGGGCGCGATGAAAATTGTGATTGAAAAGGAATTATTGAAGCCAGTATTGAAAGCTTGAGAAGCACTGTCTTACCAAAATTAAAATTAAAATATAACAAATAAAATAAATAAATGTACAAAGTTTCAATTTCATCTGAATGAATTGAAAAAAAATCCACAAATTTGGTAATAGACGGTAGCACTACCACAAAAATTGATTGGTAGCTTCGGCCAGGAATGGAACCCAGGACACTCGATTGAGAAACGAGCATTCTACCATTGAACCACCAACTCGACGAAAAGATTTCATTTACAAGGAATATCAATGAGTTAAAAAGTTTAACGTTCTTCAAAATGAACGGAATTGATATTAAAAATCGACAAAATTTGGTAATAATAGCACTACCGCAAAAATTGATTATTTGCATCTTCTTGAATCGAACCCGGGTCACTCGATTGGGAAACGAGCATTCTACCATTGAAACATCGATGCGACTTAAAAATTTCATTAACGAATAAAATTTATTTCTTTAGCAATGTTATCAATGTGTGTATACAAAGTTCCACGTTGTTCAAAATGAATGGAATTCAATTCGATAAAGCACACATTTGGGAAACAAGAGCGTGACTCTTAAAAGGGATTAAATGTATCGATCGGTTTTCGAATCCGACTCACTCGATCAGAAAACGAACATCCAACCATTGAACCACAAATGCGCCGTAAGGCTCTTATATCAAAGATTAATTTATTCCTTAATTAAAGATATGAATGAATGTACAAAGCTTCACGTTCTTCAAAATGAACGGTATTGAAATCGAACATCTACAAAATTTGGTAAGAATAGCATTACTCCAAAAGTAGATCAATTGCATCGGCCGGGAATCGAACCCGAGTCACTCAATTGGGAAACCAGGATTCTACCATTGAACTACCGATGCGACGTGGGTCTCTCTTTAAACAAGATTCATTTAGTTGTCAAGCAAAGATATGAATGAATGTACAAAGTTTCAATTTCTTCAGAATGAAAGGAATTGAAAAAAAAATCCACACGTTTGTAAACAGTAGCACTGCCAAAAAATTGATTGATGACTTAAGCTGGGAATCCAACCCAGGTCAAATGATCAGAAAACTAGCATTGTAACATTGAACCACCGATGGGCCATAAGGCCGTATTATCGAAGATTAATTTTTTGCTTATGCAAAGATATGAATGAATGTACAAAGATTCAAGTTCTTCATTATGAATGGAATTGAAATTGAAAATCCACAAAATTTGGTTACAATAACACTACCCCCAAAATGGATTATATGCATCGACCGGGAATCGTACCTGGGTCACTCGATTGGGAAACGAGCATTCTACCATTGAACCACCGATGCGCTGTAAGGCTCTCAATAAACAAGAGTAATATAATTACTAAGCAAAGATATCAATGAATATACAAAGATCCACGTTTTTCAAAATGAATGGAGTTGAAATCGAATCCGCATAAAATTTGGAAACAGCGTTACTACTAAAAGGGGTAAAAGTTTCTGTCGTCCGGGTTTCAAATCCGAGTCACTTGATCATAAAACGGGCATTCTACCATTGAACCAAAATTTCGCAGTAAGGCTACATGATCCAAGCTTAATTTATTGTTTTAGCAAAGATATAAATAAATGTACAAAGTTTCAATTTCATCTGAATGAATTGAATAAAATATCCACAAATTTGGTAATAGACGGTTGCACTACCTCAAAAATTGATTGGTAGCTTCTTCCAGGATTGGAACCCGGTACACTCTATTGAGAAACGAGCATTCTACCATTGAACCACCAATGCAACGAAAAGATTTCATTTACAAGGAATATCAATGAGTTAAAAAGTTTAACGTTCTTCAAAATGAACGGAATTGAAATCGAAAATCCACAAAATTTGGTAAGAATAGCATTACTCCAAAAATAGATCAATTGCATCGGCCGCGAATCGAACCCGAGTCACTCAATTGGGAAACGAGCATTCTACCCTTCAACTACCGATGCGACGTGAGTTTCTCATTAAACAAGATTCATTTAGTTGTCAAGCAAAGATATGAATGAATGTAAAAAGTTTTAATTACTTCAGAATGAAAGGAATTGAAAAAAAATCCACACATTTGGTAACAGTAGCACTGCCAAAAAATTGATTGATGACTTAAGCTGGGAATCCAACCCAGGTTAAATGATCAGAAAACTAGCATTGTACCATTGAACCACCGATGGGCCATAAGGCCGTATTATCGAAGATTAATTTTTTGCTTATGCAAAGATATGGATGAATGTACAAAGACTCAAGTTGTTCATTATGAATGGAATTGGAATTTAAAATCCACAAAATTTGGTTTCAGTAACACTACCCTCAAAATGGATTATGTGCATCGACCGGGAAAAGAAAACGGGTCACTCGATTGGGAAACGAGCATTCTACCATTGAACCACCGATGCGCTGTAAGACTCTCATTAAACAAGAGTAATATAGCTACTAAGCAAAGATATCAATGAATATACAAATATCAACGTTTTTCAAAATGAATTGAGTTGAAATCAATACCGCATAAAATTTGGAAACAACAGCGTTACTACTAAAAGGGGTAAAAGTTTCTGTCGTCCGGGTTTCAAATCCGAGTCACTTGATCATAAAACGGGCATTCTACCATTGAACCAAAGTTTTGCAGTAAGGCTACATGATCCAAGCTTAATTTATTGCTTTAGCAAAGATATAAATAAATGTACAAATTTTCAATTTCATCTGAATGAATGGAAAAAAATCCACAAATTTGGTAATAGACGGTAGCAGTACCACAAAAATTGATTGGTAGCTTCTTTCAGGATTGGAACCCGGGACACTCTATTGAGAAACGAGCATTCTACCATTGAACCCTCCAGATCACCCAGGTCTAACACCACTAGAAAGCAAGTTTGCATTCCACATTGTCTAAAAGCTAAAATTCTCAAATCTGTCCATTCAGAATATGGAGGGCATCTTAAATTTTTTAAAACATATCATCGACTCAGCGAAAACTTCTTTTGGCAGAATATGTACAAAGATACTAAAAATTTTGTTTGTTCTTGCACTATATGCTTATCTCGGAAAAACGCTTTTAAAATTCCGCCAGCACCTCATCAGCCAGTAGAACAAAGTAAAGAACAGGGAGAAACGTGTCATATGGATATTTTCGTTCCTTCAAAAACCACGCCTAAAGGTAATATATATATAGCTATGTTTTATCTATGATAGATGCATTCACAAAATACATTCATATTGTTCCACTTTCAGATATTAGGTCGAGTACGATTTCTAAAGCTTTCTTTGATAATTACATTGTACACAGGGGTTGCCCACATAAATTAGTCGTAGATAACGCTACATATTTTAAGCGTTCCGAATTTGTTGAATTTTGCAGAGTCATGGGTATTCATAAAAGACACATATCAAGTTATTCCGCTCACGTCAACGGGAGGGTAGAGAAACCCAATCAATCACTAGCCAATATCCTGCCATCAATTTCACAAAACACAAACGATTGGGATGAGCAACTCCCAGACACCATGTTAGCATTAAACTCAGCGATCCATGAAGCTACATACACATCGCCCTTTTTCCTAGAACATGGCAGGGATATTCGATTATCATACACTTACGAGAAAAATTCCGACACACCACAAAATAAGCATGAATATGTCGAGAAACTTTTACCGTCTTTGGAGCATACTTTCAATAAAGTTTTAAATAATCTAAAAGATCAGGAGGCATCGCATGTCGATTTGAGTACGAGAGCGACAAAACCACATCATTACGATTACAAAATCGGGTCCTTGTGTTTTATAAAGACGCCTAATATTAAATCTAATTTATCTCCAAAACTCAGACCTAAGTTCGAAGGTCCTTACAGAGTAATAGAGCGTTTTTCTAATGTCAATTATAGGGTTCAACATGTAGAACAATTGAGGAAGAGATTTAACACACATGTCAATCGGATGATTCCATTTATTAAGGTATGTGACTACCTTCGGAGCACTTTTTTTGAAATATATAAAACTTCAATTAAATAAACATTTTTTTATTTGAAATGGGACATAAAAGTAAGAATTCCAATACAGTTCTTACAAAGTTAAAAGTAATTTTCGAAATATTGGGAATTTTGAGTGTGAAATTTTAGTGAAAAATTGCAGTTGCGGTAAGGATTGTATTGAAAATTCTAATTAATATATTCTTATAATATTTATACAGTACATAAATGACATCATTATCTGTGTTTATAGCTATAAAATTTGTAAATACTTCTGAAAGATTTTGAAATATATCAATTTTTATGCAAAAACTCAATTTTTTACAAAACACTAATGTTATTTTCTCACAAAAAGTGCAATAAAATAAATAAATATATACACAGAGATTAGATTATAGTCTAGAATACAGATAAAACTAAATAAAACATTTTCTCAAAATTTCAAGTCAATATCTTAAAAAGAAATTCTGTAGTGAACTGTACCGTGAAGAAAAAAATTGAAAAACATAGTTTTTTAGGAAATGCATTTAAAGATTTTAATACTACATGAAAAAATTTCTACTAATTTTACACTTTTTAAACTCACTATATTTATAGCTCAAGCTCTTTTTAGCTTCATGTAAAACTGATTTGACCTTTATTTTACCCTTTTGTTGTTTTCTGGAGAGTTTTGTAGACTATAACAATTTTTTGTTTTTAGAGTTACGACAGTTAGTTTATCAGTTACGACAAATCTTGTACACAAAATTCTAATAAATGTATTCAAATAATATTTATAGAGTACATAAACAACATCTTTATCTGTGATAGGAATCAAATAAATTTGTAATGCTTTTGAAAGTTTTTTAAATATGCCAAATTTTATGCAAAAACTCAAATTTTTAAAAAATTAATGCTTTTTCTTTCATAAAAAAGCAATAAAGTACATAAATATATACACAGAGATTAGATTTTGATTCATATAACACAGATATAACTACATAAAACATGTTCTGAAAATTTAGATTTAGTATCTTAACAATATTTTGTGTAGTGAGCTTTATCGTGAATAAAAATATTTAATAACAGTTTCTCATAAAACACATTTAATAATTTTAACTCAAAATAATTACTTTTCTACTCACTAAACATTTTCAAAACTCCCCATATTCATAGCTTAAGCCCTCTTTAGCTTCATTTTTGGCTAATTTGAACTTTTTTTTAGCTTTTTGTTTTTTTCTGGAGTTTTGTTGAGGGTAATGACTGGCGTTTCGATTTTTGAATTCTCTCCTTGTCAATTCCCATATAGTTTTTAAGTGTCGTTGGATCAATTCCTATACCTAAATAATTAAATACAGGCAATAGCCCTAAATAACCTACGTATTCCTAACGATTCACTTCCGTCATACATTGGGATCAAATCAATTAGATTAAATTTCTCGGACGCCGTTTGCGTCAAAAGGGGGTCTGTTTGTCGAGTACGTGGCATGTTTAAAAAAATTAAGACAAAATTTCTAGCGAGATTAAATCGCAACGGAAACCATTAAATTCTAACTAAAACAAAATTCCAGCGCTCGTGCAGGGTAAAAGAAATTCATGAACTCCTAAATTTAAATAAACTTTTAACTAATCGGCCTCTCGCGTAAATACATGCATAGAAAAAAAATTATTCACATCAATGTTAAAGAAAAAAAAAATATAAAGAGCAC